ACACACACACACACACACACACACACACACACACACACACAAACCATGCCCTAACACAAACCCTGTTGATCGTCAACTATAGACTTTTTACTTTGAGCAAATATAAGTCAGTCATAAAGTTTTACGTTTGACTTTTCTATTATGAGTTTTATTTTGAAATGTTCACATTTAAAAAAAATTGTTCAGTTTAAATATTTTATTTGAACTCCATGAGTCTACCCTACTACAGGTATACGTATGCAGTTAGTGTTGCACCTAAGTCTTAAGGGACTGCTTGATGTTTTTACTGGTTCCTGCAGAGTGATGCTTATATTGTACAAATACATTGGTCTTTTAAAAAAAGCTATTGGATTTTCTTTAAAGGGTTAGAAATACAGTCCAAGGGTCTCAGCGTGTGTCCCTTTGCATGTCTGTGTGTTTATCCAAACAGCTCTCAAAGTGTTTCCAGTCTCTGCCAAGTTGTTCTGAGACTGTGAAAACACTCCCAGTTCTGGGAATGCAGGGCCCTGACACACACACACAACACAATTGCAGACACACACACACACACACACACACACACACACACACACACACACACACACACACACACACACACACACACACACACACACACACACACACACACACACACAGATGCACCTCAATCAACCAATTAGGTCATCAAGGGGATCTCTCATCACAAGAACAGGCTCACTGCCATGTCCAAATGATGGGGCGCTGACATACACACACACACACACACACACACACACACACACACACACACACACACACACACACACAATCCTCGTCTGGCTTCAAACTCAAGAGACACTGAACCACAGAATACATCAACATGTGCACACATTTACGTACACACTGCTCCAATGAAACAACACACAAACACAAACGTGGCCCCCTACTCGTTAGGGTTCCACTGATCAAAAAGAATGATGCCTCCCGTAACTATCTACCAGAGAGGGATGGAGAGAAAAGAGGAATTTGGACAAAAGGTGGCCCGCTGCGGCTCGGCGGCGGCGCAGACCGGCAGCTCATGGCGGCAGCCCCCTCTGTTTACTAGCGGCTAATTAATTCGCCACATATGCTGAGAACATCTGTCGCTAGTGACCTGCCGGGAGAGCAGAGGACGCACTGCTGCGACGGCCCGCTCCCCCCAAACTCTCATTAGCACACACACATTGGTTGCACACACACACAAACACAAAAAGAGGGACACACACATTCACATAGACATGGCTGAAAGTATGCACTTGTGTGTTCAGACATAGCTTCACATACCAGGACGTAACTAAGTTAAGACACTTACACAAACTTTAATCTTCGGTAGTTCATCACTTGTCTTTGTAGTATCCCTTCTGGATTATTAGGTTCAACGCACTGAACAATTCAAAACCAATTAAACCAATACATAAAGGCATCAGTGCTGATTTTTCACACCTTGGTGCAATTACAAATCACAAAATCACAAAAACTCACCTCTTCAATCTGGCTTTTCATGTGTGATTGTTTTTGTATTATTTGACTTTAACTTTAACTATATATTTATTTGTTGTGCCTTTCTTCTCTTTTCTTTTTTCTTCACTATTATCTGTAAAGCGTCTTTGAGCACCTGTAAAAGCGCTAACAAATTAAATCTATTATTATTATTATTATTATTAATTAACAATCTCAATGTTGATTTATTTATCTTCAAAATATTTGACTTATCACAGATTTGGGGAATGAGCTCAACAAGCTTTCTCGATATTCACCTAGAAAACATAATGGTGCCTAGAAGAAAATACGGAGCATTAACTTTCGCAGTTGACCAGACAATGTCATATTGGTACTTTGCACGTCTCTGCTTATTAGGGTGCAGTCAATTGAAGGGCAGCCTACTTTTAATGATGTTAAAAAATCTATTTGATAGAAAGAAGACCGATTGGGGAACATTCATGATGGCTATAATTTCGCTGGTTTTAAATAAATATCTAATAACTTAAACAAATGTGATTTCAATATTTGTGTCATTTTCTCATATTGACCACTGTTATGCTTTTATGTATTTAGGGAATTGTAGCCGGACAGAGAGAAGCACAGTCAACGCACACTGCTGAGCACACACATTCATACAAGACGTGTGAGTGTTTTAAGCTGTAAAAGAAAAATGTGTGTTATAGATTTCATATCAAGGTCTAAAGTATTGATATGCTTTGGGTAAAATATTGAAAAAATATTGACAAATCTTCCAACATAACTAATACGTTTGTATTCTTCTGTTTCCGATTTGTACAAACTGTATGTAATTCAGCACCTCTACATTGTTGAATCAGTTCCGGCCTATTCCACACCTTCGGATATATCTTGCACACTTTCTGTCTCCCACTCTGCCCTTCATGGCGCACTGTGTCGAAGCCGAACTTGGCAAAATAAAAAAAGTGAAGCCCTGCGAGTGTGCAAACCGCAGCACCAGCAGAAAAACTCCCACCAGCCAATCAGATTCATTAACCTCCACTATCCCACAATCCCCCCAGGGGGACCTACAGAGACAAAGACAAACTCTCCCCCCCTTGTGTCCTGCGTGTCCCCCTCTTTCTCCTCCTCTTTTTATCTCCCACACCCCATAACACACTCCCAGTCCCCCCAACCCTCCCTCACATTAAAACAACCAGACAGGGATAACTAACAGGAGCATAATTCAAAAACTTCTTTCGACAAAAAAAGAGTAATAACCATGATTATAGTCAACCTTTTGAGGAGTCTCCTACTGTAAATGATGATGGGTGTCATAATTAAGCATCAAGGTGCAGTGATGTGTTTCAGCTGAGCTATGTTTGGGCTGGTAAGGCATTTTAATTGAAGCTACTGGTAACCATCCAACACTTAATGCCATTATTATTTCAACTTTAATGTCTTTGATTTCCATAATATCAAAGTAAAATCTCAAATAAACGAGTCAACCGGCTGAAAATCCGTCAGTCAGCCGGTCACTTCAGTTGTCACCTCACCTCTCCCTGTTAATCTGATGAGGGATCAATCAACGCTTTAACATGTTTTCTGAGTCCTCACCTTCAGGCCTACAATGCAGCAAGCCAGTCTGTAAACCAATCAGTCAGTTAACAACTCTCGCCGTAACTCAGTCAACCTGACACTGAAGAAGTCAACAAGTCAGCCACTGTGCGAAGCGGCCGACCGAGCATTCAGTCAGTCAGGCAGCCACCCAGCCGGTGAGCCCCCCACCTGTCCCTGCTAATTTGGTGAGGAATCAATTAAGGCTGTGTTTGCTGAGTTCTCCTTGCCTTCAGCTCATCTGCTCCTCTCTAATGCAATTGTCCTGTGTGCTGCGTGCAGAGCGGCATAATAAAGTGATAAGGCTAATCAGGTTGGCTTCTCCTCTCCTCTCCCCATACGCACACTACACTTATTCTATTAGATGTGTAATGAGATTCTGCACTCCATCAACACGATGCCGCTATGCGTGTTCGTGTGCATGAGAAAAACTGTGTGTCTTTATGGCTGTGTGTATGTGAAAGTATGAAAGTGTGTGTGTGTGTGTGTGTGAGAGAGCTTCTGTTCTCGCAGAGGAAATTTGCTCCATTTACATTCTATCATTAGCTTGAAACAAATGTGCCCTTGAGCTTAGCGCCCCTGTCTCTCTCGGCTGCAAACACTTTACTTTGGCAGGCGATCATAGTAACATGCGCGTGCACACACAGACACACACTCGAAATACACTTCAGCATATAATCGAATAGAATAATGCACAAACACACACTTAAATGAAACTAACTGCATAAAGTGTTACTCAAATGAACGTGCGATGCTGCTAACGCGGGTGCGAGATCATTAGCTTAAAAAATCATCTTACTTTTCATTAAATAAACAAGTGTGTAAGCAAATATACACATTCATTCACTTCTATCCGTCTACTCATCCCTTCATTTATCCATCCATCCAGAAACTTTATCTCACCTATCACATACACACAAGTCGGTCTGTTCAACAAACCGCCAAGTGAAGACACACACACGCTCGCACACGCACACGCACGCACGCACGCACACACACACACACACACACACAACACAACACCACACACAACACACACACACACCCACACCCCCACCACAACACACCCCACACACACACACACACACACACACACACACACACACACACACACACACACACACACACACACACACACACACACACACACACACACACACACACACACACACACACACACACACACACACACACACACACACACACACACACACACACACACACACACACACGTGGAGAGAGTGAAGCTGGAGTAGAGGACACAGGGCTCTATGATGTGTAGAACAGTTCTGGTCAATGGGCCAGATAATGAGTTGCCATAAACAGCAGCAGTCTTCCACTGTCCAGCTCAGCTCATTACCGTAGCTAGCATATGTAATCAGTGCGTTGCTGGGGCGTGTCTTAATGTACTCTACTCTGCTGTTTCTCAAAGACAGGGTTGGGCCCGCAGGGTGGGTCACGGCAAGGTAAGAACGGATCAGTGGATCTTCCTGGGGAAACATTGGTGATTGGTATTCAAACACTGGCAGAGTTATTATGAGGCACATTTTCCTCCCAGTTCTGATGAAAGCCATTGAAGCTAAATAAGCCACGAAACAGCTCATTATGTGGTGCGAAATACTCCTTGTTAGTAGCAACAAATGTTTTATTTTTATTAAATTGCAAACAATGTTGAAGCATTAAGTGAAAATGGCTGCAAGCTAGTTATAAGCACATGCTTATATATTCCCTCTTTGTGATTGACTTCATTAACATAAATCAGTGGGAAGACTAAACAACAGAGGGTATAGAGTGTATGGGCATTTGGGAGGCCAGAAAGCTGTCACAGAGACATAATTAGAAAACACGCACACACCCTCACACACATACAAACACAATATCAAGCTGTGCACATCCTCATTAACTCCTGGAGAATGATAAAACACGATTCTCTCTCATCCCACCCAAGATTCTATAAAGAGAAGATAGTATTTCAAGCTGCCGACACTAAATCTCTAATTATAACTTTATTTGAAGAAAACAAGGGAGCACTTAATAAGCAAATGAGAGTGATAATAACTTGGAATATGGATCGGACCTAACCGAGTAGATTATAGGGGTGAACCCCCACTGAGAGAGACACAGAGAGAGAGAGGGAGTAGTAAATAATGGGACAGAACGAGTAAATTATGAGGCTAAATACTCAAAGCTGTAATTATGGCTTTCTTTGAATAGACAGAGATGAGTGGGAATGAGGATGATCGGATAATAAAAAAAAAAAAAGTTAACTGCCTTCCTCATTTGCTTTCATTCACGCCGTCTTCATTTTTCAGTCTTGGTTGTTTTTCCATTGTGTTCTGTTCTGCCAGATTTAAAGAAGGGACGGTTATTTGAATGAAGTAAATGAAGATGCAGAGGTTTCTCCTTATACTTTTTTTTTTTTAAAAGGGCCCTATTTTTATTTCACAGGTGAAGATCAGTTTATTCTTCAAAAGGATATCTTAACCTGTGAAAATATGTCTACAGCATTTCAGGAGCTCTGTCAATGTCTCAGAAAATTATCTCAAAATGACCGTTCAATCAGTCTGATGATAAAATGCCTCTAAACCTGCATTACATTAAAGACGGTGTAGGACCCAGCGTTTGTTGAAGGTATTGAAACATACTCTACAAATAAAGATGGTTACCATTAGTATTCTTTTTAGTAATTAGTCAATCCTGATTTCTAGCGCTTCGATGTTTACCTCTACATTTATTATTCTGCTCTTGCAAGTCCTCCTTCTACATTGAAATGAACTACTAAATCACTTAAACTTACATTTCTAATACTTAATTAACACAATGAATGGCTGCTGGCACATTAACCGACAATGACAGTATTATACATAATAGCTAATGGGAGATAGTTCATATACAGTACATAATGTTGGCTAATCTGCAAGGTCTTTGTCGGACAACGTTTTATATCAGCAAAAAAAAACGGCCATATATACAGAAACAGTGTCTTCTCCATTTTCAACCTTGCAGTTTACAACGTTGCACTTCAAAAATATGGAGCTTGGACATTTTAGCCTGGGACAGTTGCTTTTTCTTTGTCGCTGTTTTTAGTCCTGAACCTTTACCCTACTGGGGCTTCATGAGCACATTTTACCCAGCGCTAAAAGACACACTGGCCATTTAAAGGCAAATTGTTATTCATTTTGACAGCCTGACAAAAAGGCAAAGAGCACAAACCCACAACATCATCATTAAATAATGCCATGTGCCTTAACCCACTGAGCTGTCTGACATAATAACAATCCTATTTAATCTTGTGCTACGAGTCAGTGTAGTTGTAGTTACGAATCGTTGCTACTGTTATGACTTTTCAACCCCAATTTAACACATGATCCCAGCTCTCTCCAAGGTCTCTCTCCCTTTGTGTCTATCACACACTCTTCTACTTTCCCTCAACAACCACTTTTATTTTCTCCGTCTTCCATCTGTTCCCAAATCTCTTTAGATTCGTTTTGAGTTACAGGATATGAAATTGACTTAAAGAGGAGTATTCACAGAGGGCTTTTGCCATTCAAGGTTGATTTCATTTTATTCGCTATCAGGGCTGTCTGTCTGCTTGCATGTTAAAGATATGAGCAGAGTGTGTGTGTGTGTGTGTGTGTGTGTGTGTGTGTGTGTGTGTGTGTGTGTGTGTGTGTGTGTGTGTGTGTGTGTGTGTGTGTGTGTGCGCATGTTTTGGGGTGTCGCTGGCAGATGTCAAACAGTTGAAGCCTCACACAGACGTGCTGACAACTCTCTTAGTAACTGGGCACCTTAGGGGGGCAACACAGGTGTGTGTGAGAGAGAGGGAAACAGACGTGACCTACCCCCCTCCATCCCATCCCATCTGCATCCTGACATCTGACAGGGGCTTCACACCAGGCCAATCCAACAATATGTGTGTATGTGTGTGTGCTTGAGGTGCCTCATAGCCAAACGAAAGGTAATAGTATGTAAATGACCCCACATATGTCATCCACCAGAGGATAGGGATGGACACACACACTTTCCCCCCTCTCTCCATTACACCCACTCACACACACACACTTTATGCCCCAAGGGTTGTGGGGTCTCGGCCTCTGTCTGATTTCTTTGGGTCAGTTTCTCACAGTTCTGACAGGGTCACACACCTCTCCTCTCATTATTAACCTGCAGTAAAAAACCCACGCAGCCAAACATTGAGCCGTATATATTGGTGTGTGTGAGGGATTTAGAGAGTGAGGGAGAGTGTGTGTGAAGAAAGGAGAGTGACAAACTGTTCATGTGTCTGTGGGAAGGTGATTGAGACAGAGAGAGATGGAGAAGCGGAGGTGTGTGTAGAGAGACAGATAGATAGAGAGTCACTTGGTTCTGTGTGTGTGTCCTCGGGGCATTACCTATCACATTAGCAATATGACAGACTGCCCAGCCTCCTCTCTCATTTCCTGTCAATCAAGCACAGAACATCACATTCAGCCAACAATACCTCACTTTAAAGAGAGCAACCACCAAATTACAGCTTTAAAATAATACCACCGTGTGCTTCAGGACAGTTATGCGACATATATATGAACATTCGGCACTAGTTAGTAGCCGTTACCCTCTGTGGCCATTTCCCCGCAGCCATTTCCAGTCACAGATAGGTAGCTTCAATATTAATACTACACAACAATTGCTGTGAGGTAGAACACAAATCATAAATATTTTAACAAATATAATAAGTGTAGGGAATATTTGTAAGTTGTCTCCTTTTATTCAGGTCACACACTGAAAACTGAAGAAGAATCACAGAGGAAAGGGGATCAAACTAATAACAAAACATATTGCAAAAAGAATAGAAAAAGACAAGTGTGTGAGTATGTGTGTGTGTGTGTGTGTGTGTGTGTGTGTGTGTGTGTGTGTGTGTGTGTGTGTGTGTGTGTGTGTGTGTGTGTATATACATGCATGTCTGGAACCTCACTTTTTGCTATCATGAGTCACAGTGTGCTGTTAGATTTATCAAGAATTAAATCCCCTCTAAATTCCATCACAGTTACTGACAGGATTACAGTGTGTGTTTGTGTGTGTTAGTTTGTGTGTGTGTGTGTGTGTGTGTGTGTGTGTGTGTGTGTGTGTGTGTGTGTGTGTGTGTGTGTGTGTGTGTGTGTGTGTGCAGTGACAGGTGATGAGAGAGTCCTGCGGTACTGTGGTCACTGCTGATGCACAATAGGATTATGACCAACACCTACCTGTGTGTGTGTGTGTGTGTGTGTGTGTGTGTGTGTGTGTGTGTGTGTGTGTGTGTGTGTGTGTGTGTTTGTAAGCTATGCAGTGACCATAGAGAGAGAGGCTCCTGAATGATAAGCAGTGACTACATCCGTCTTTGTTTCCTCTTCCTTTGTCTTTATCTATCACTCCATCTATCTTTCCAACCATCTGGACCCTCTGTCCCCCCCCCCCC